CCCCAAAACCCCAAAACCCCAAAACCCCAAAACCCCAAAACCCCAAAACCCCATTTTCGTTAGGAACACTGAAGCAAAAAAATTAGAATATTGATCAACACTGATTGCCCCCTTTCTTAACCTTCTCGTTTCTCTTCGCATTCTTTATTTTATCTTTTCGACTTGAAGTACTGTCACCTTCAACATATTGAGCAGGGTCAGCAAGCTTTTGGGCCTGAGCTTGAGCGTGTTGGGCATGTTGAGCCATTTGCCTACGATTAACTGCATGGACACCTTGAGGTACTACATCTCTGGGACCCTCTGAATCTCGAATCGCTTGCTCAATCATCTTTCGTTCTTCTTCTGTTATCGCATTAGGATCCATCTGTCCTGCCAAAAGATTAAATTCAACATCATTTGGATCAACGCCTTGAAGCTGATCTTGATCTTCTTCAGTAAAGATCCCCAGTTGCTGGTTAATTATCTGCTTTGCTTTGTGCACGTCTTTGCCTGTCATTTCGTAAAATGTCTTTATCTGATCGTCATCCAAATCTGGAAACGTCGCCTTCAAAATGGCTTCACCATCGTCTTGTGGTACGGCAGACTGACTGGCTTGTGCATTCGCGACTGGCTGAGGCCTCTCTGCATGGTGACTCTCAACGCCAGGGTTCATTTGTTCAGGATGTGTTGCCACCACTGGACCTCTCATGACACTAGAGCCAATATCATCGTCGCTTTGGTCTACAGACAGATAATCAGAAGCATACCTTTGAGCCTGTTGAGCTTGCTTTCAAGGTCAGAGTCATCCTCACTGGCTTCGGCAATACCATTCTTAAGTTCTTCTGCATTTTGCCTAGCTTGATCGTAGAGATTATGATGTGCTTCTTGTGCTAGATCTGAGGCCAAAGGATCATTAATCATTGTTTTACCAATATTCTTCCCTTTCTTTTTCTTCTTTTTAGCCTAAATCTGATGAGAATTGTCCTGGATACCAAAGTAAACTTTGGCTATAAATTACCTTCTCTTGGGATGGATTAAGATAATCTTGGTCAAACTCTAAATGTTTTATACTGAAAAAAAGTACCGCCATCACCAGGATAGGCTTGAGGGACATTCCCATTGATGTTTAAATCATAGTTATCCCCTTCAACTACTGCTGTGTTATTAATGATGTTCTTTTTCTTCTTTTTCTTTTTCTTCTTTCTGGCAGAGTTTTCTGCACCTCCAATCATGTTCTCTGAAGTATTATACTTCTGGTGAGCCAAAGCTACTTGATTTACAATTCCAGGCTCTTTCATGTTTTCCTCTCCAAATTCATTGTTTACAGGATTTGCAATTTTAGCAGCCTTTTGCTTCATTTGTTGTTGAGCAGCCTTAAGATCTGCTTCAAAATCTTCATCATCGTCGTCATCCGAGATGATCTCTGCTGCATTAATATTATTACTCTCTCTGAAATACTTGGACCCTGTCCGGTCAATAGCCTTTGGTGGAGGCTTTTGCTCCATCACTTCTTCTTCCTCTTCACTATCAACAGATGCTAAATTTTATCTATCTGAAATAATACAAAGCAACAAAGAAGGATTGTACTTACGAGAAGGTGGGCGGCCAAGATCAAAATTGTTCCGATTATCCATTAATTTGCCGTCATCAGAGCTGGCGGATTCCATCCAGTCTGGTCGGCCTACTTCACCCATTTCTTCTAGTGCTGCCATGTTGCCACCCAGATCATCGTCTTCATCCTCCTTGAAGTGCTTGGCTTTCTTCTTTTTCTGGAGCAAGTTCATATTTATGTTAATTATAATATTGTCAACATTCAAAGATGCAATGGGGTTTTGGGGTTTTGGGGTTTTGGGGTTTTGGGGTTTTGGGGTTTTGGGGTTTTGGGGTTTTGGGG